TTCCCGAGTCCCGCCTGGAGGCGAGCCCTCCTGGTCGGTTTGAACCCTCTTCCCCGGGCGTGAAGGGAAACAACGGCGCTTAATTCCTTTACTTCCCTTCAGCACTGGCCTTTGGGTGCCTCCGCCGACTGCACACGGTGTACCAGACAGCGGAGCTGCCAGAAACCCACCAGATGCTGCGTCAGACGTGCCGGGACTTCGCAGAAAAGGAGCTGATGCCTCTCGCAGCTCAGCTGGATAAGGAGCACCGCTTCCCGGCCGAGCAGGTGCGTGCTGCTCCCGCCGGAGGTGGGCAGGAGAGGGGCAACTGGCTCTTTCAGAGCCTGACTGCTGCTGCGCAGGACCACCTGGGCCTGAAGCAAAATGTACATTAAGCTCTGGCTTAGTAGAAAGTTGAGGTTTAGACCAACTTCTGGCAGAGTTCTTTCACTGTGGAGGTTGTAATGCCTACAGAATGTTTTGAGCTCTTTACTTTTACTTGCATTTCCATGTGGCTTTAGTACCATTGAATTTTCGGTTCTCTTACTGATTCTCCTGTGAGCTGTAATACAACTGACTTATAAAATAAATTAAATACTTTTAGAGGTTGCACGTAACCATGAAATGGTTTATAGTGAGGAAGTGTAGATGAGCTGAGTGCATTTCAGATGGTGAAGAGGTCAGGAGATAGGAGATGCATGTTGGTCATCCTCTGGGGCAGTGAAGAAACTGAGATTCCCATCAAACCTATGGCTTCTCCTGTGGAAAGCAGTCCGGACACAGCAGTACATTCTGTGCCGTGTTGAGCAGACTAACTCGTTTCATTGCAATGCAATACTAAGCTCCAGAAAAATATTTACTGCTACATTAGCTAAAAGACTCCAAGCAAGCACAGGCAGAGACATGTGAGTTTTGTCATATGCCCCTCTTTATATAAAGGAGTACATAAGATAGCCAGGAAAGTCATACTCACTCTAAAGAAGAAAAAGCTTTCCTTTTTACTTCACTGTTCTTACCTGAGAATTTTACATTTGATTTTGAGCCTGTTCACTTGAATGTGTAGGGGAAAATTCAAAATGCAAACTGTTTATTAAGATAAAGCAACATACGTAGAACTAGTTGCTGTCTTTTGTTCATCTTCTGGATTTGATGTGAAGGACTAGTGTTTTGGGTGCCCATAGAGGATGGAAAATATATTTGTTTAAAAATTTCTCCTGGGTCCTATTAAAGCAAGCAGGTGCTGGTAATACGCTTACTTCTGCAATACTAAAAGCTTGACAAGTTAAATATAAAAACAGAGGAAAGCTTGTGTTTTCTTTTGTACGTTGCCAAATGTTAACAAGAAAAGTAGAGTGAGACCGTTGGTGCTCTGAAGAGCTTACAGTTAAGAAACCAGGGGTCCAGCTGAGGAACTTGGGGTGGAATAATTTGGAATGTAACCAACAATTAAATTATTTGGGAAGCAAGATCTGGTTTTAACGGGAATGAAAAATCACCTTCTTGCAAACTCTTTTGTGGGTCATTCATTCTGTAAAATTCTTTCTTTGTGCAGTCCTACGCTGAAGCTCAGCAGACTCAAAGGTAAAGTTCTAATGATTTTTATCAGCCAGATTTTCCATTGAGAGCTTCCTATTGACAGGAGACATGTGAGGGGAAAAGCTTTAGTGGGAGGCCGAGGAAATGCTGGTGGGGTTGTATCTCCTTATTTCACCTTCAAAAGGCTCCCTCCTTCCTGTTACTGAAGAGAGCTCTTTAAATAAGCAAGAGCCTCGTCTTAGGCAGCAGTGACTGTGTACAGCTCTTGTTGAAATCATCGGGACCTGGTGACACCAGTTTGTAGTCACATTCCCATTTTGCCAGGAGTTGTGTGCATTTTTTCCTCTGTGTGTAGCCCTGCTATGACCTGTCTTTATCTCCATGTGTCTGCATGTATTTGCTGGGACACTGGCGGTCCAGAGGATCTTACTTCTCTGTTCCTCATGTGCAGGTGAAGAAGATGGGTGGTTTAGGGCTGCTGGCTATGGATGTGCCAGAGGAGTATAAAGGAGCAGGCCTCGACTATCTGGCCTATTCCATTGCCGTGGAGGAGATCAGCAGGGGCTGCGCGTCCACGGGCGTCATCGTCAGTGTCAATAATGTAAGTGTCTCAGGTTGTGTGTGAGGGACAGGCGTGGAACTGAGGCTGGCATCAGGGGCGTTACTGGAGAGCGGTGTACGGGAGAAATGAGATCTGTTCCTGGGGTGGGTTCTGGTGTGTTGGAGAGCCCTTAGACATTATGGAGGTACTGGATTGCTTGTACCTTCAAGAGGCACTAACTCAGCTCTCCATTCTTAAAGTCCCTGTATTTAGGGCCGATACTCAAGTTTGGCTCTGAAGAACAGAAGCACAAGTGGATTGCTCCCTTCACCAGTGGGGATAAAATTGGATGTTTTGCCCTTAGTGAACCAGGTGATGTGACTGTTACTGTTCCTGTTGCAAAGAATGTAGGGTAGTTTCTTTAGTCAGGTTTAGGATGGACTTTAGGTCTGTCAAGGTGTAACAGTTTGCAGAAAGGTGGTTTATAGCAATTCTGTGTAAATGAAGTCTCAGTGCCCAAGGTATTAACTGCCATCCCCTCTCTGTGTGCAGAGCTCTGGAGATGAAGATGTGTTAGACACGTGGGCCTTTCCCCTTCCTGTTTGGGTGTTCTGAGAGGGACACTGCCACTACTGCAGTTAACAAGAGATGGTGTGAGCTGATGGGCAGGTGCGGGCGGGCGGGCGGGAAGGTTTGCACCTCAGGCTGCCACTGATAGTGCCTGACTGTTTGCTGGTGCCTTGCTCAGGAAACGGCAGTGATGCAGGCGCGGCATCTACAGTGGCACGCCTGGATGGTGATGAGTGGGTTCTGAATGGCACCAAGGCCTGGATCACCAATGCCTGGGACGCCTCGGCCACTGTGGTGTTTGCTACTACGGATAAATCCCTGAAACACAAGGTATGATCAGTGGGTCAGTCAGGAAGAAGGGCCAGGAGTAAGGGAGTTGTGTGGGAGAAGCACTTTGAAGAGGCTCTGGGGACTCTGTATTTAGAGCCGTGCAGGCATTGAGCAGAGGAAGGGCTGATGCACGCTGGCTTTGCTCTGTCTCAGCTCCCCCCCCTTCTCCTCGTTACCTACACATGTGGCTTCTATGAAAAATGTTTGGAGGAACCTGTTGACAGCCAGGTAAGTGGGAAGTTGGCACCATTCCTAAGAGTTTGGGTCTTGTTGCAGGGCATTAGCGCGTTCCTGGTTCCCATGCCAACTGCTGGGCTGTCACTGGGAAAGAAAGAAGACAAGCTGGGAATCCGAGCCTCTTCCACTGCTAACCTGATATTTGAGGACTGCCGGATACCCAAGACCAACCTACTGGGGCAGCTGGGAATGGGCTTCAAAATCGCCATGGTAAGAAGTGAATCGTGGTGCAGCTGTGGGTATATAAAGCAGTAGTGCCCAAGCTTACCATTTTTCAAAACCATTTTCATACTTAGGATCACTTTGGTGAGAACCACTAAAATAAGCTGTTCTGTGTAACATTAAGCAGTTGACCCCTCTTGCCAATGTGACAGAAGTCATTCACAGAGCTTGATGAATCATTAATTTACCATAGATCCTTGACAGCACTTTTACTGTAGAATCAATGTGACAGTTTGCAGATGAAGGAATGCTGATGCCACTGAGGTGTTTTGTGAGCGGGGGTGGTGCATTTTAATTTTTCTTCTCTCCCAACCCTCTATTCCTCCAGTTTGTACCCATAGATAAAGCAAAACCACGGCATTTTCCTCTGCTAAATCCTTTGGCAGAGGAAGGTTGTCTTGGAGGCACAGGACAACGTCTAAAGGTGGATGAAATACGAGTTATGTGTGAGACTTCAGAGGAGCCAGGCAGCTGCAGAACAGCAGGTTCCCTGCAGTGATGCACTCCCCCATGGAAGTGTTCATTGATCTCCTCTGTAGGGGCAAACCAGCATTTGTTGGCCTGACTTTTTGAAAAAGGCTGAGCTCCCTAGAGACCAGCCCATTCCATTATGTCCACAACTAAAAGAACCCATCACTCACCAACTATTTTTTTTTTTAAGACACTCAGCTAGGACTGAGAAGATGAAGCCTTTTTTCACTGTGCTGTAAGTTCTTCTTGTGCATAGTGAGGCAGGGAAACAGTTAAAAGCGTAATGGGCAGGTGTTTGAGGTAAGTTGTGTTACTGACTTAATTCACTAGTCATTTTGAAAAATGCTTCAGTGTGTGTACTAGTGATGAGGGCAAAGAAGAAAACTGACCAGATTTCAATTTTTCTTTTTATTTTTTTTCTTCCACTTAAAGTAAAATCAGCTGCACAGTGAGCCAGCGATCTAGCCGAAGGGTTCCTTTCAGCCCAGCCAGAGCAGATGCTCCTTGTTGTGCTGGTTCCCTTATTTTGTACCCCCTCTTTTTTTTTTTTCTTTTTCTTTTTTTCTTTTTTTTTTTCACCAGCTAACAGGAAGCAGTACCTTTCCTTTCTGCTTTCCTTCTTGAACCCCAGCTTCTCTTTGCAGTGCCCAGTACATTTTATAGCTCTCTATTCCTGCATAACTGGGAATATTCTGAATCAAGGAGATCTCTGATCCTTAGAGGATACTAAGGCTATAGCAGCTTCCCAGCAAGAGCAGAAATACAAGTGTACTATTTTGATCAATTATGACTTAACACATATTTTGTGTCTTTTGCAGCAAACTCTGGATGCAGGAAGGATTGGTATCGCCTCACAGGCTCTTGGAATAGCCCAGGCAGCTCTGGACTGCGCTGTGGATTATGCTGAAAAGAGAATGGCCTTTGGGTCACCCATCACAAAGCTACAGGCAGTGCAGGTATGAACTAGGCGGCCGGGCCAGTTCCAAACATTGCTGATGCTAGTGTAAAGGTCATGTGGGGTCTCAGGCAGGCAGTACACTTTGCACTGTCTGGGGTAAACAAGGTAATAATTTCTGTTTTCAAACATCATTAAAACTGATCTTTGGGATAGAGGCGCTCCTTTTCTAGCAATACTGGCCTCAGCAGTGGGAGACTTCTGGGTATGTTCTTGTGTGGGCAGAGGCCACCTGGAACAAAGGCAGTGTTTGTCATTGCAGTTTAAGCTAGCAGATATGGCCATGGCCTTGGAGGGTGCGCGCTTACTGACCTGGAGAGCTGCTATGCTAAAAGACAATGGGAAGCCCTTCACAAAGGTAATGCCAACCTTCCATTTGTCTAGCAGTGACAGTGCTGGGCACAGGCTGAAGGCAAGAAAACCGTGCTATGTACAGCATCGCTTGTTCAGTGCTTGCCCAGCCAGTGCTGTTGGTGTTTCACCCACCAGCAACTATTGGACTGTGCTGTCAATGCTCAGGCAGCCTGCTGAGCTGGGTCCTGGTTTTAGCCAAGGTGCGAGGGGTGGCCACTGTCAGCTGGCACCAGTGATCAGGTCTGTCTCTGTGCACAGCTGGTCATTTGCACCTCATGCAAATAAGGTGTTTCTTTTTGTGATAGCTGCACCCTCAATGATGTTTTCCTTCCCCAAAGGAAGCGGCGATGGCCAAGCTGGCTGCATCAGAAGCTGCAACGGCCATTGCTCATCAGGTAACTACTTCAGTTGAAATATCTGATACACAGCATGCTGAAAGGGAGTTTGTGTTGTCACACAAGTATTTGGGGAAAGTAGGATGGAATTTACTAGATTTTGTTTTTAAAGAAACAAACCAACCCACCCATATGGGCTGAAGCTGGTTAGCACAGCCATCTTGCTGGATATTTATGCTGGCCTGTGGCAGCTGTTATTAGTCTTCTTGTGCCTGCTGCTGCCTAGGGCAGTGTCAAAGGTTTGAGCAGGCTCAGCAATGTGGGAGGACATATAGGTGCACCACTCTGGCCTAGGAACAAGTTTGAAACATAGCGAGCAGACGGAGCAGCACCTCCAATAAATGTAGACATTTAATTTCCCTTGTCCTTAATAAAAGTCTTAGTGAGAGCCATGTTCTGCTAACACATACCTCTGAAGCAATTCATTCTTTGTCTGGGACATCAGTATTGCTCTTACCCAGCTCAAATCCTGTTTATTCCTCTGCAAATGGGCTGCAGTCCATCTCCATCCCCACCCACCTCATTAAGCTTGCAGTGGGCTTAGCTCTTTTGAAGGTGTCTATGCTCTGTAGAAAATTAATTCCTTGACCCTGTCTCCTTGCTGACCTGCTGCCTTTGTTTCAGGCCATCCAGATCTTAGGTGGGATGGGTTACGTGACAGATATGCCAGCAGAACGCCATTACCGTGACGCTCGCATCACAGAGATCTATGAGGGGACCAGTGAGATCCAAAGACTGGTGATAGCAGGTCAATTGCTGAAGGCCTACCGTAGCTGAAGAAGTGGATTGGAGCAAGACACTGCCCCAAAGTGCTCTGTAACAGTGCACTACAGTGATCAAGTCTTGGCCCTCTTGAATGAGGCTAATGATGGAAGTTTTTCCTCACCAATGAGTAACTGACCCTCTTGTTAATACGTGCTGATTCTTCTTTGGACAAAGTATGGTGCATGGAAGGCCATATCTAGGTTTGTAAGGGATGTCTGCGAGTGCAGGAGGGTGAGGGACTCTCTCCTTGTAGGGAAGTGTAGGTCTTTTCCTAAACTGGAGTGTTGTTTTGGTCTGGTAGCAGCAAAATGACTTTGCTGTTCAGTGAAGTCAGCAGCTCTCCTGGTACACTGAGGAGATGTGCAAGGATTTGTACGTGGTACTGGATAACCAGTGCCAAAGTTAGAGCCTGTTAGAGTCTGTTACTCTGCTTCTCCTGACCGGACATTAATGAATTTCAGGTGTAGGATGCAGCTATATGCAAGTGCCTGATTGGACAGGCTGTGCCAAGGTAATCCTTGCAGCAGTACACTTTTCCCTACTTCCAGACAGGAGGACACAGGTACCACCTATGCACAAAGGGCTCTTCTTACAGGCCGTGGTTGCTGTCTATGTAGATGTAAAAACAAAGGCCGGGAAAAAAAACACAACAAACCACCCTCAACCTTGCCCAGCAGAGCCCAGCAGCCTGCTCACTCAGCCACTTAAGGATGTAGGTGTAAAAGCAAAGGACAGAAAAGCTACAACAAACCAAACCACCAAAGACATACCCCCCCCGCTCCCAAAGCTGCTTTTACTATACCAACAACTACTCAACAGGAAAGACTGTGCGTGATGTGACAGTAATCTCTACATGTTTTGGGCAACAATGAGGAAATGAACAGCTGACATAGAAAAAAAACCTTACCAATAAGCTTTAGCAGCAGCACATATCCTCAATCAGTTATCTTTGGCAAGAAATTAACTTTTAGAAGATTCAACAGCCAAAAGAGAAACTCTAAATTCAGGAAAAGAGGGAGAGGATTAAGACTGCAGCCTATATGGTTGGCTGAGTACACTCAAGGTAAAGGGTTATTTTCCTGTGGTGCCATTTATTTAATTTGTGTGGAGAGAAAAACCAGCAGGATTCTATTACTCGTAAGAGAGCAGAGAAGACAAATAAAACCTGATTATTTTTTTTTTTTTAAAGGAATACCAGTCTCTACTTACTTTTTTAATGCAAATGTGAATTACTTTAGAATATTTTCTTCCCAAGATAAACCACCAGTGCCTGCACACACCAGTTAGACAACACTCCAAGGTGCAGCGGGCGTTCGCTAGTGCAGCCATCCCAGCAATACAAATAATCCCTTTGCAGGTCGCTAGAGGGCAACTGCATGTTGGGGCAAAGTCTTCAGGTCTTGAATTTCTCCTTGCTGCTCTCACAAACCTATGGATTGACAGAAACAGAGCCAGGCAGTGCATTGAACAGGGGTATTTCTACTGGAAAACCATTCTAATGGCTGTGAATGTATTATAAATTATGGAGGGCTTCTAGGAGTGAGAGACACTTTTCTAGCTTGATTTCAGCCCATATTGCCACTTCGATGATTGGTGAAGGCTCATTTCTATGATTGTGTAGGAGAAGGTGATTTTATTTTACGCTTAATTCTCCTTGCGGCCACTCAGCTAAAGCAGGAGCTGTAGGGCTGCTCGCTGCAAGAAAGTGAGGTGTTTTACTGTTCAGGGCTCATCTTCACTGACCTCATGTGCTGAGGGACAGCTGACTCCCAGTGACCCAGAGCAGTCAGTCATGTTGAGGCCATGCCTGTGCATTGTTTCCCCTCACTTCACCTAGCTGCATCTTAGAGCTGCTTTACCATACTGTCAGCACTTTCAGACTCCTCGTCCACATCACGCCTCCTTCATTGACCAACTCTAAATGATTGCAGCTTCTTGTCTCCGAAGCAGAGTGAAATTGCCCCTGGACCTGCACCGTGGCTGACCTAAGGGGGGGAGAATAGTGATGAACACCTCAGCTGACAGAGAACACACCCGAAGAACCTACTAGCTAGATGTACCAAATCCCCTGCAGGCCTTCTGCAGGGAATATGGGGGGTGCAACATGGAGTAATTGCCTGCTCTTGGGGAGAATTGCTGCTGCACCTGTGACCAGAGCCAGCTTTTAGGAACGCCCCGATCATGCACTGTGTGCCTTGTTAACAAGCTTCTTGCTCGCTCTGACATCAGTACAACAGCTGACCTGGCTAACAACTGCATACTTGATGCTAACTTGCTGAGTGCTGCAACTCTGCCATTGTCTCTATCAAATTACACTGCCCATCAAATCACAGAAAGGGTGGAGCTGGTCAAAAATCACTGGTCTAGGTACAGAATGCCAGTCAGGTGCCTGAGCCTAGGAACATCTTAAGATATTCTATTAGTGGTCCGTTTTGTTATTACCTAAAAACATGCTTTGAGGGTACAAAGGTTCTCAAACAAAAGCTTTCCAGTACCTTCCTTGCTGCCACAGAGCTCTGAGAGCAAAGAGCTGGCTTTTCTCAGAACAAGATACTAAGAGCTTACTCCTTGCTGCTGCAAGCTGAGAGACTTTTAGCTGTAATGCATGGGTGTCTGCTCATCAGGGTTGTTACAGAAGAGAACTGCTGAAAGCACAAAACACAAACAAGTTTTGCAGGATTTAAATAGGGAGCTCTTACCACAAGCCACCCCCAGACAGCACTAATCTGGCAAGGCATGGGGAGGGCTGGGCTTTCCTTTGAGAGAGGGGTCTATTTACAGGTGAAGCAAAAAGTTTTTAATCAGTTTACAAATTCAGCTAACATTGCAAAACTCAGAGCACTGAGATGGGAAAATCAGGTCGTACGTAAATTAGAGGTGGGAAAGGAGACAAGTCACAGCTACATTTTTCAAGGACATTGTGGTTTTTGCCCCACAATGCTCTGAGTGTACATGAAACTGGTTACAAGGCAGACTACTAGGAATGAAGTGGGGGAGCCTTGGAAGTTTACAGCTGGAGATGGAAAAACACCAGTTAAGAACAGTTTCCAGGGCAGGAGAACTAGTCAAATGAAGGCAGGAGGTCTGTCTAGTGTTTCCTGCTCCAGGAGTTCCTATGAAGCCCTCACTAGAATCCTTTCCTTGGAAACACAGCTACTGTATTGAGGAGTTACTTCCCCTCACCTCCCCTTGGATTTGATATATTTCATATCATATATAAAGCTCACAATCTCTTCATGTGAGTTCCCAACAGACTAAAGGAAGAGACGAGCTGTTCTGGGCTGTCACCATTAAATACACACAGGTGAGAACTACTTAACTCTTCCTGGGGAGCACATCCTTCATGGCCCCTGTCCGCCACCAAGACAGGAGCTGCCTGGATCCCCTTCTGAAGCACCTACCTTCCTTGGAGCACAGCAGGATGGGGCTCACTTCTCAATTTCACACAATTTCAAAAAAAAAAAAAACCCAACGAAACCAGAAGCACCATCTCAGCCTTCCAAGTTTAAGCAGTGTATAAAATGTTTTACAGGAATCAGCTGAAATTGCTGTAGTATTGTTTTCACATCAGAATACTGTCTCCTCTACTAGTCTTTTCTGACAGTGTTATCTATAAGAAAAATAGAACAAGTTATTTTGATTTTAAATTAAATTTTGTTTTGCCTCAGTTCAGAGCCCTCATTATACACACAGACCTGGCAGCAAACACACATTCAGGTTTTGTATGGATCTTGGAAAGCATGAAAAAAGTACCACATTTGAAAGACATCCTGAAGTTAAAAAAGCAAAGTACCTATAACAGGAAGAAGAAATGGAATAGAGATAAGAAAATGTGACAGTATTGTAACATGAGTGAAAATGCAGTTTGCTACTGTTTAGCTAAAAATTAATTTCAAATTCCACTCACTACTTGTACAAAAAGAAAACCACTTGGGAGCCTTCACTCCAGTTCCCCCTCCAAGAGGGTCAGTACCGAGTGGGAGAAGCCACCCAACCATCAGTATGTATTTCCTAATTGCCTCAATGATTTCTTCCCCTTCTCTCACAGAACATAATGTACTTCCAGTAGGAAACGTTCATCTCAGCAAAAAGCCGCTGAATGTCACAGGATTAAAACTGCAGCACTGGCCACCCTGATGTGCTCCTGAGCCTCTGCAGGCAGCAGGGTATGGCCCCGCAGCCGGGCTGGGCACGGATTTGACAGGTTGTTCCCAACAGGCTGATACAGACACAGAATGACCAGCTTGCATTTCTGATATACTTTACCCAAACTGGCTGGCCAGACAACCCCAGGTCATTTCTGAACTCATCATGTTTACAAGACTAAGTGTGACCTTAGGGAGATTTCAAAATGCAAACTAAAATTTCTAAAGCTGACTATAAAAGACAAAGACACAGCAGAAAACTGACTCCAGAACTGTTAACAGGTTTGTACATTACAATTCTGGTCCATGTCCTGACAACTTTGCCATAAAAACTTCAGTCTATCACCTTTTTTTGCCAGTATCCTTTTACCTTCCTACAAAAAGGCTTATGTTAGTCAAACAACTATTAAAATTTTTTTTTCTGACAACTTCTCAGAAGAACGGCCAGGTGGGTTTGGCAATCTCACTGCAGGACTTTGTGTCAAGTAGGTTACTAAGGAGTTCAATAAAATGCTAAAGCAAGAAGGCATGAACAACCGTACCAGACCCCACACGGAAGCCTAGGCCCTTGCTGGCCTCCGGAAATCCAAAGGACCCAAAGAAGCTCGTACAGTTTCATTCCATTTCATCCTCAGGCTGAGGAGATGCACAGTCGGACAGACTGAAGAAACAAGGACAAAAGCACGTCTATGCACAGAGGGCCCAGCAGCTGAGTAGCGAGGTAAGAATTTGCTTCTAATCCCCCCAAATGCTGAGGTTGTTCTAGATGGGAGAGCTGTAGGACAAAGCTTTACAGCTTTAAGTTACTCAAACTAGGAGAATGCTTTTCACTCTGCAAGTAGGGAAACAGTTATGCTTGAGTTAACCTCTGCAAAGCACCAAAATTCTTTTCCCACAGGTGACGGCTGCTCTTCCAGCATAGGGGCAGCAAATGCCTTTCAGTCCAGTTTTGCTCACCTGGCAGGTGCAAGCTTCTGCCAGGGAAGCGGGGCAGTCAGCTCAGTGCAGTAGGCATCACCTGTGGGTTCAAAAACAAAGTGTTGCAGTTACAGCTCAGGCTCTTGGTGCAAGTCAGAAGGTCGCACAGTGTGCAGGAGGGCAATACAGCTTAAAAAGGAAGGCCAAGATTTTTCTGGAAAGCTAAATTAATTCTTAAGCATTCGTCAATTAGCACTTCTAGAACTTTTTCCAAAATGTTTTTTAAGTGTAGAAAATCATTCATAGGCACGCTTTCCTGGCAGGGACTTACAAATGCCACTGCAGAACACAGACTGACCTTTTAATTCCAGAGGCAGGAGGGAACTCCTGAGAAGCTGAAAGCACCTGAGATGTGCATTGCTATCAGACGAGTGGAAGGGCAGGGAAGACAAAGCAGTAGCAAACGATCTAAAGATGTTATTCCACTGCTTGGAACCTCGGGGGGGGGACACACACGGTGAGGTGGAGAAAAGTGTCTCTTTTTCTCTGAATATCCTCATCAATATTTTATTCACCTGAAGTTTGAGGTGTGTAGCTGAAAACCAATGGCTTTCTTTTGTCCCAAGCTGACTGCAAGTCTGGGACTTAACAGCTGCTATGAACTGTAAAAGCAGATTTTTAGTTAAAAACTATTTACTTCATTAAAATGTGACAGTTACCCGATGATGAGCACTGCAGGCACATGCTACAGAAAATGCTTTCATCGAAGTGAAAGATAGGAACTGGGGGGGGATTAATAAAGTCACAACATCCCCCCTGCATGCACACTTAAAAAAATCTTAGAGCCCCCTGCCCCTGAAGGCTCTGTTGCTTCTTACCTGTGTCAGAGATCTGTTAGAGTCAGCTTGGAGGCCAGCAGCCCTGTCAGTCCCTCTGCTTGCGAGCAGTGGCAGACCTGCTCGAGAACAGAGGAGGAAGTTGATTAATGACAGTACAAAATGACGGGACAAAAACCGCACTAAATATGCTCTTGTAACATCTGACAGAGCAGAAAGGATCATGCGTTTCACTGAAGCTTCCTTACCTGTTGTAACGGAACCGTACCCCAAAGAAATGTTACTGGTCAGGTTTGTTCTTAAACATTCCTGTTTTCCTTCCAGTCAGCTAACAGTTATCAGCATCTCTCCAGCTAACAAGAGCTACGAGCCTTTGGGAGAGTTCCCCAAACCCAATTTGGCAGAGTATTTTAAAGGACAAAAGTTCTAGTTACCTCAGGGAAGCCTTTCAGTCAAAAAAATAGAAGAACTGGAACTGCTGGTTCAAACAAAAATAATAAAATCCACATTTTAACAGTCTACAGGTACAAAGCAGTCAACACACAAACTCCAACCAGTCACAACAGTAAAGGACAGTTTTCTTTTTCTTTTTTCCTTTTTTTTTTTTTTTTTCTTTAAGGGGCAGGGGCATGGAAAAAGTACAGCACACTAATGAAACAAAATGCAAAAAATACAAAAAAATAGAAAATAGAAAAAATGTATTTACAAGTGATACATTACTATGATCAGAAAGCACAAAGACAGTTGCTGCTATAATACATGCACTGGGTCAACTACTAAAAACCTGCAAGGGAGCTGTTTGTAAAAAAAAAAAAAAGAAAAAAGAAAAAAAGACACCCCCACCCCCTCCCCCCCCCAAATGAACAGGGTTGGGTTTGAACTTTTTTCTTCCCTAGTTTGCTACATTGATCAAAATCAAATATCCCCTAAAGTCCATGAGTACAATCAGTACAAATACTACACTTGTTTTTAAATTGCAGGTTCAGTTGTAGGAGGGGGAAAAGAACAGCAGCTCATTGTAGGTCCACATACAAGAAAGCCATAGTAAACTGCTCTACATGCTAAAAATTACAGCAAGCCCCTGTCTGCTACATAGCATGATCTTAGCAGGTTTTCCTTTTTATTTATTCATATATATATCTATATGTGTGTATATATATATGTATAAAAATCGTGCCCTTTTTCACTGCAACATGACATCTGGGTGGAAACGTAACTTGTTACAACAAATTTTTATATGTATACTGCAAGAAGTCACTCAATGTCTGTGGATTTAATAAGTAACCTCACACCACAGGAAATATTTAATAAATCAAAAAAAAAACCAACCAAAAACCAATATTGTGACAGAAGACTTTCTGTCTCAGTTCTTTTCAAAACCGAAGTCCAGCAGGAAACTGGTCCCAATGTACACGAGGGGTTCTCTGAAGAAGGTTTAGTTTGCTTAACCGTTTTTTCTTTTAGTGTTCACAAGTTTTTGAACGACCTCAAGCCGTTTTCAGTTCCAAGTCTGTCTCCTCCTCTCTCACAAAGGTAATAGTCTGGTACTAATCCATCCGAGCGAGGAAAAGAGGAAAAGTGGCTGCAGCTGCACAAAGGGTCCCTAATTCCACATCTGCAGGGAGATAGAGAGTCACGCGGAGCTCCAAGATCTCAGGGTTTTTTTTTCTTTTCCTCCTTTTAATACAAAGTCCTTTCAAACAAGTCCCGTAATTGGTACCTTCCCAAGTACCAGCCAGTCCAGCTTTAGGAGATGACAAAGCCACAAGTTAAAGTGAAAAGGACAAAGGCAGAAGTTCAGGTCACTTTCTATCTGTTCCATCATACTTCCAGGAAACGGGAGCTGCTGGACTTGGAGTGGAAAGGCTCAGACCACATGCGACGTAGATCGCCCTAGGCAGGAAAACAGCAGAAGGACCGTGCCCTCAGAAATTTTAAAGTCCACCCAGAATTCAGATTTTAAAACGCATATGTAATTGCAAGCATGCCTTAAAGCAAATTATTCTTTTCCCCTTTTAAAAATTACAATAAAGACAGTAAAAAATAAATCTTTTCCCTGTCAGGCTAGAACATCTTATTTTGGGGGCAGATCTACTGAAAATGGGTTTCTGATGGGAAGGAAGTATTTATGCAGGTGAAAAATTCTGCCCTTTCCTATGCTCCGCTCTGCAGAGTGCGAGATGTGTGTTTCAACAACAGCCCTGTAACAGGAAAGGTTATGCTTTAAAATTTCAGTTCCGAACAGGTGACTGGAAAGAGGTAAACAAGGATCTGCCCCTCCAGTCTCTGTTCTACCTTTGTGCACATATTCTTTCATGACCAGCTGGGCGAGGACAAATTCACTTATTTAATTAAATCAGCATTTAATACTTCAGAATTTAGTTAGTTTATAATTACTGGTACTTTATATTTTCTATTTCAGGAACTGGTCTGTGTTAGTCCTCCAAAATGAAGATTCACCCCAGCAGCAGCGGTACCTTAGTTCTGGGTCAGGGCAGTTAAGGACACGCCATCCTCACGAGAACTGCTGCCCAGTGCAAGAACACTGAACCCGCTTCCGGCTGACCCCCAGAGCTTCCTGCTGCAAAGATACCATCCTGTCTTACCTTTAAATAGGCCATGGTGAGGAGCGGCAATAAAGTAAACGGTACCAAATAGAGCAGGGCAGGCTGGGCTGCCCGGTGAATACGAGAAGCTACTGTTGCAGTTAATAGACCTGTAAAAGAAAAAAGTGACTATGGTATCTTTAGGTTGTATATGGATGTTCTCATTGTTTCATCCACATATGGCTCCCTTCCCCACCATTTTAAGAGACAGGCTATGGAAAAGTTAATTAGCTGTGATTCACTTTCCCCCAAAACATTTGAAACAAACGAAACAATGAAAAATTATTCTCTTTTAATATTAGGCTGTGTTTAATATTAGGCTGTATTGAGTCACTTGCTCCAGTTTTGAATCTCAAAGACTAAGCTAAAAAGAACTCAAAACAAAATGCAACGAAAGGCAAAGGGAAGGCTGTTGAAGGCACCACGCTGAAGTGCTGGTACCTCTTGCGACTGTCAGCCTGAGGCCCCTAGCCAGAGAGGAAGGGCTGTAGGCACCAGGAATGACTTTCCTGGACACTTTCCCAAAGGGAACACAGGGGGGAAAGAGGAGGTGGGGGACGAGGAAGGCTATTGGTAGGAAATGATCTTCCCATTTCATCCTCAGAAATGCTGCAGGAGATCAGGATATGCACACACTTGGCCTGACCTTGCGGGGGGGGGGGAACACTTTT